CCAGGCTGCATTCCCAGGAGATGAGGCATTCTAAGTCACAAGATGAGATAGGAGGTCAGCGCAAAATACAGGTCACAAAGACCTTGCTGATAAGGACACATGCACACCAATGTTCATTGCAGCACTGTTTACAATAGCAAAGACCTGGAACCAACCCAAATGCCCATCAGGGATAGACTGGACAGGGGAAATGTGCCACATATACACCGTGGAATATTATGCAGCCATCAAAAATGATGAGTTTGTGTCCTTTGTAGGGACATGGATGAACCTGGAGACCATCATTCTCAGCAAACTGACACAAGAACAGAACATGAAATACCACGTTGTCACTCACAGGCAGGTGTTGAACAACGAGAACACATGGACACAGGGAGGGGAGCATCACACACTGGGGTCTCTTGGGGGGAATAGGGGAGGGACAGCAGGGGGTGGGGAGTTGGGGAGAGATAGCACGGGGAGAAATGCCAGATATAGGTGAAGGGGAGGAAGGCAGCAAATCACACTGCCACGTGTGCACCTATGCAACTATCCTGCATGTTCTTCACATGTACCCAAAACCTAAAATGCAATTAAAAAAAAAAAAAAACAAAAAACAGCATGCAGTAAAGAGGCTGGCCAAATCCTGCCAAAACCAAGATTGTAACAATTGTGACCTCTGGTTGTCCTCATGGCTCCATATATGCTAACTATATAGCATTAGAATTACTAAGAGACACTCCCACTCCTGCCCTGACAGTTTAGAAATGTCATGGCAATGTCAGGAGATTACCCTATTGGTCTAAAGGGGAAGAATCCTCAGTTGTGGGAATCGCCCACCTGTTTCCCAGAAAACTAAAGAATAATCCACCCTCTGTTTGGCATATAATCCACAAATAACCATTAAAAAAGGCACCGACAGCCCATGCTGCTGCGCGGCCTGTGGTAGCCATGCTTTCATTCCTCTACTTTCTTAATGAACTTGCTTTCCCTTTACCCTATGAAGTCACCCTGAATTCCTTTTTGCACGAGCTCCGAGAACCTTCTTTGTGGTCTTGATCTGGATTCCTTTCTAGAAACACAGCTATTAACCTTAAAGTGTTACCGACTGCAAACACCAGGGAAAACATGAAATGGCGAAGTGTGACCTTCCGGGGCTCTCCAGCAGAAAAGGAAGGATGCCTCAGACAGGCATTCACACAATCCCTAAACACACTGCACATCCTCACTTCCCAAGGGTAGGGAGTCCACTGCTGATGTGGGCAGCGCACCCGAAGGGACAAATCACGGGTACAGACTGTAAACCCCCAGGATCCAGGTTCAACTGCGTCGCTCTTGCTCTCTTTACCTTCAGGTGTGCACTTGGGTCTCTCCCAACAGTACCTTCCTTTCTTCCCTGTTCTAAGGCTTTTTTTTTTTTTTTTTTTTTTGAGACAGAGTTTCACTCTTGTTACCCAGGCTGGAGTGCAATGGCACAATCTCGGCTCACCGCAACCTCCACCTCCTGGGTTCAGGCAATTCTCCTGGCTCAGCCTCCCGAGTAGCTGGGATTACAGGCACGCACCACCATGCCCAGCTAATTTTTTGTATTTTTAGTAGAGACGGGGTTTCACCATGTTGACCGGGATGGTCTCGGTCTCTTGACCTCGTGATCCACCCGCCTCAGCCTCCCAGAGTGCTGGGATTACAGGTGTGAGCCACCGCACCCGGCCTCTAAGGCTGTTTTAAATAAACTTCCACTCCTGCTCTGAAACTTGCCTTGGTCTCTTTTTCTGCCTTATGCCCTCGGTCCAATTCTTTCTTTTGAGTAGGCAAGGATCGAAATTTCCGCAAACCCATACAGACCTGTGCCAACTCAGATCTCTTCCACTGCTGTCAGGTACAGAGTTTCAGTTCTGCAAGACGAAAAAGTTTCGGAGACGCACTGCCCAGCAACGTCATCAATGTCATTAGACTTTACTGAGCTCTTAACTCTACTCCCCGCATTTTCTTTTTTAAATTTTTGTAATTTTTTTGTAGAGATGAGGTTTCTTCATGTTGCACAGGCTCGTCTCTGTGCCCTGAGCTTCAGAGATCCACTCACCGTGGCCTCCCAAAGTGCTGAGATTACAGGCATGAGCCACCACAGCTGGCCTGAGCTGTACTCTTGAAAATGGTTAAGATGGTAAACCTAATGTTTTGTGTTTTGCACAATACGAAATAGGGAGACTCCAGTTTATGCTGCTTGGACTCTTGTTCCTTTTCCTAGACTTTTCTGTTTTCTCCTCTCTGCCTTTTTTGCTCCCTCCTTTCCTCTGAGCCTTGACATATTGCAAAGCCTGTGACATAAACTGTCCTGAGAATTGCTGAAAAGGGACTGCACCAATAATACCAAGAAAGAGGCGTTTACTACAGTGACGACAGTCTCCAACTGATACGATGCCAGGTTTTGCAACAGCTGAAGGTGAGGAAAAGTGTAATTTGTTTTTTGGTCTTTTTCTTTGAGATGGAGTCTCACTCTGTCGCCCAGGCTGGAGTGCAGCGGCACGATCTTGGCTCACTGTAACCTCTGCCTCCAGGTTTCAAGCAATTCTCTGGCCTTAGCCTCCCGAGTAGCTGGGATGACAGGAGCATCACCATGGTGAGTCACTTCTTTTCCTGGACCACATGCTGAAGCAGAATCAATGAACAGGTATCTACCAGGTTTATTAATATTTCTAATACTTTTTCTTTCTGAGATTGGGTCTTGCTGTATTGCCCAGGCTGGACAGGATGTGGTGTGATCATGGCTTGCTGCAGCTCAGCTTCCCAGGCTCAAGCAATCCTCTCACCTCAGCCTCCCAGGTAGCTGGGACTACAGGCATGCACCACCAGGCCTGGCTAATATGTATATATTTTTATAGACCTGGCATCTTGCTATGCTGTCCACGGTGTCCTCAAACTCCTGAGTACAAGTTATTCTTCCACCTCAGCTACCCCCCACACCCAGCTAGTTACTGTCGTTGTTACTGTAGAGACAGGGTCTGGCTATGTTGCCTAGGCTGGCTAAATCTGCAAACTTTATCATACACAATCATAAACATAAACTTTCTTTTAAATCTTAGTGGTGCTGCTCCTTTTCTTTTTTTTTTTTTTTTTTTTTTTTTTTTTTTGAGATAGGGTCTCACTGTGTTGCCCAGGCTTCAGTGCAGTGGTGTGATTTTGGCTCACTGCAGCCTACACCTCCTGGGCTCAAGCAATGATAATTTTTAAAATCCCAAGTTCCTGGCAGTATCTCTAAAGATCTCAATAAGGTCAAGCACGGTGGCTCACGCCTATAATCCCAGCACTTTGGGAGGTAGAGGCAGTCAGATGGCTTGAGTTCAGGAGTTCGAGACCAACCTGGGCAACATTGTGAAATCTACCTCTACTAAAAAAAAAAAAAAAAAAAAAAAATTAGCTGCACATTGTGGTGCATGTCTGTCGTCCCAGCTACTTGCGTGGCTGAGGCGAGAGTATCACTTGAGCCTGGGAGGCCAAGTGGTCAAGACTGCAGTAAGCCCTGATTGCACCGCTGCACTCCAGCAGAAGCAGCATAGTGAGACCCTGACTCAGAAACGTTTCGATCAGATGCTGATGAAGGGAGCAGCAGCTCATGCTTTCGTGCTCAATAGGTGCCGCACATTGTGCTAAGAGCTTTATGTTCATTGCCTGGTTTTATCCTCAGAAAATGCCCATGAGCATGTGGTGTTATAATCCCTATTCTACAGATAACGAAAGAAGATGTGGGCTTAGTGTTCATTTGTTACAAAGATGTTTCAGAGCTGTTTTTTAAACTACTGGCTGCATTTCCCTGATGAGGTATGAAGTAAAGTTAGAACATCAAAACTGGCTTGTTCTTAAAAGTAAGAGCCACTCACCATCACTTCCATTACACCTGACCTCTACCTCCTGGCAGAGCAGCAGCGGCATTAGAGTCTCATAGCAGCGCAAACCTTACTGTGAGCTGTGCATGCGAAGGATCTAGGTTGATGCTCCTCGTGAGAATCTAGTGCCTGATGGTCTATCACTGGCTCTCATCACCCCCAGATGGGACCGTCTAGTTGCCAGAAAGCAAGCTCAGGGCTCCCACTCTTTCTGCGTAATGCTGAGCTGTACAATTATTTCATGACATGTTACAATGTAATCATAATAGAAATAAAGTGCACAAAGAATGTTATGCACTTGAATCACCCCAGAACCAGTGCCCCCAGCCTGGTTTGTGGAATCATTGTCTTTCATGAAACTGGTCCCTGGTGCCAAAAAGGTTGGGGACTACTGATATATAGTCACTGCGGAATGACTATAGCTCAAAATAATATATAGTTTCAAATATATGCATATAAAAGGAGAGTACTGAATGTTCCCAGCACAAAAATGATACAGACTTGAGATGACGGATACGCTAGTCACCCTGACCTGATCAGCACACGTCACATGGATTGCAGCTTTCCTGCATGCCCCGTAAGTGACATGACAATTAAAAAACATTTTAATTAAAAAGTAAAATAAAATGTTTATTGCTTACTTTTAAATTTTTTCCTTGCAGTTCCAGCTCAAATAATGCTTATCGTTATTATTCGATTTTATTTGTTTATTTATTTTTTGAGACAGATTCTCACTCTGTCGCCCCAGCTGGAGTAAGGTGGTATGATCTCAGCTCTCTGCAACCTCCACCTCCCGGGTTAAAGCAATTCTTATGCCTCAGCCTTCCCAGTAGCTGGGATTACAGATGCGTGCCACCACACCTGGCTAATTTTTTGTGTGTTTTTGGTAGAGACAGGGTCTCACCACGTTGCCCAAGCTGGTCTTGAACTCCTGGCATCAAATGATCCACCTGCTTCGGCCTCCCAAAGCGTCAGCATTACAGGAGTGACACAGCCAGCCTGATGCTTACCATTTTAAAAACAAAATGCAACAGAAAAGGCCGAAAATAAAATAGGCCCTACCCTTTGTTTAATATAAAACACAACTCTGATATCACAGAACACAGGCAGACACGCACTGGAAGGAGACCACATGACTGTTTTTTAACGTTTTAATTTAAACACGTCAGTGTTTGTCCAAATGAGATGATGCAGTCTAGGACGCACAGCAGGATTCCATACTGGACTCACTCCATGAGCCAACTCATCGCTGCCTGTGAACATGAATTCTGGTCCCAAGAGAAGCTGACATTCTTTCCATGAATGTTCCCGCGGTCTCCCTCTGAAAGCCGACGACCGTCCGACCCTGACTCACCTGAGACTATATCCGTATGGCTATTTTAAATTAAGCCCTGAAATGTCCTATGAGCGCTGCCTTCTGAGACTGCAGACTATAACCACTCAGATGGAAAAAGAAACAGTCCCTCCATCACCCACATCTTGCGCAAAAAACTGCCACCACTAATGCTTAATCCAACGGGCTAAACTGCTTCAGGTGACATAGAAAGTGTCCATGCCTCTCCACGGAAACACATCCAACCAACACAGGCCAGGAGTGAGCTCTCCCACGGCCTTCCTATCCCATCTCTCATTTCCTCTCTGCTTTTCCCTGGCATGTGCATGGTAAATAAACCTTCCAAACATTTCAAAAATCACACTTTCCTCTCTTTATTACAACGATGCCCATGTTAACGACACTCTCGGTGGCCCCTGATGGCCACCTGGTGACATACACAGCACACTGTGTCCATTAAATGAAGATGCTCTGACAATGAGCCTTTCTCATGGAATAAAGTGTCCTGTCTCATAAAACTGAGAATTCTCCAGAAAGAGCTGAGTGGGAATGGCTTTGAGGAGCACAGTAATTCAGTAAGTTACTGAGAACTGAGGTAGAGAGGGTAGCCTGACCGCACACTGATCTCTGTCGTCAAGCACAGAGCATCTCTAGATCCCGTTATCGTCAGCAAGTTGTTGCTCTAAATCGTTTGGGGGCAAACCCTTGATTCTTCTAAACCAGGAAGTGAATCGGTTTAGAAGAGCTCACATCCCCCGTGCCACCTACAATCTTTCTTCCCAACATCCACAAGTAGAGTTTCTGTCAACAGCACTAGAAGTCCTGTTAGGATTTAAAGCAGAGACCACAGCCGGGGTGTTTCTCAAATACACTTCACCAAACGTCCGAATGTTTCCTTAGCCCTACAGAAATGGGTCTCCTTTGCAAAGGCTCAGAGGTGCTAAATACATATATTAGCGTTGTTAGCTTAGTGATGGGAGGAAGTTTGCAGTGAGGTTTAATTCTAAATAGGGTAGGTCTCACAGCACCTGTACGACACGGCGCCACCGTACTTCAGAGGTCCTTCGGGCAAGAGCAGAGACCACCGCCAAGGGTCTACTGGAATTTTGCTATTGCTCGCTTTTGCCGACAAGGTGAAGGGTAGAACTGAGCTCTGAAGAGAGCCCAGAAGGCATTGGTGCAGGGGTTGGGGCGAGGGGCGTTAAGGTGGATTTCTATCCTCTACATTCCTTGTGTGAGGCACTCAAATGAATTAAGCATAAATAGAGGCACAAGGTTCAACAGCATTTCCCTCTGAAAGGACCAGAGGAGAGCTCCACGCAACACGACCACCCAACAACAGAACATTGTCTAACTCCACACAATGCCCATCACTGCCAGACTACTGCAGGAACCGGTCCAGCTTCTCCTGGATGCGGGCAAACGCGTCCTTCCCCATGTAGTCAATGCGGCCTTCCTCCCACTTCCTCCTCTCTTCCTCGGGGCTCAGTTCCTTCACTTTCTCTTCAATGGAGATCTGGGAAACAGACACGGCCAGGTCGACCTGGGGAAGACAGTCAGTGAGAGATGGTTTTTGCAGCTGTCCATTATCAAGGGAGAGACTGCTAGAATCCACCCAGCATAGGTTTCTGCAGAAAGATGCATCCCAGCTCTCAAAAACAGAGGGCTAATCACTAGCACTTTGTTTTTAATGAGAGAGGGTCTCACTCTGTCACCCAGGCTGGAGTTCAGTGGGGCAGTCATAGCTCACTGCAGCTTTGACCTCCTGGGTTCAGGAGATCCTCCCACCTCTGCCTCCTCAGTAGCTGGGACAACAGTAGACATCACCATGCTCAGCTAATTTTTGCTTTTTTTTTGCAGAGATGGGGTCTCATTGTGCTGCCTAGGGTGGCCTTGAATTCCTGGACTCAAGCAGTCCTCCCAATGTGCTGGGATTGCAGGCATAAGCCTCCACACCCAGCAGCACACACACTAGCTTTCGTATAAAATGCTTAGAAGATATTTTTTTGCTTACAATTTTTGAAATTTTATAAAATGTAATTGTATATGTTCTCTTTTTATGAAGAATTCTTTTCATTCTAGCCACTAAACCATTTTAAACACACACGCACACATGCACATGCACACACACACATGCACCCTACTGATTTAATATTGTCACCCATCAAAACTTCTGTTTTGTGTGACGGTGAATAACCAAACTATGTTAAATGAAACAAAACCTGACCTCATGTAAGTCAAGCCTAGAATAACTTGGACTGCTTGGCAAAGGAATTTAAATAGTAATTCAAATAGTTCTTTCAATGGCAGAGCGTCTGCCTTCTAAGGGACATATGAAAAAACAGATGAATACACAAGTGTATAACAACACACACACGCATACACACTTTCGTTTGGCATTGAGATGAGTCAACAGAAAGAATAAATACATTTGCTTTAAACACTTCCTACCAAGTACTAGAAAAAGACTTAAAAATTTAAAGATGGTAACAACAATAGACACACACATCTATCTGCCTATCTATCCATCCATCATCACCATCATCTATCTGTCTACCTGTCATTATCTATCCATCAAATCATCATTATCTATCATCTATCTAATCATCACTATCATTATCTATCTAATCATTACTATCACTATCTATCTAATCATCATTATCTATCAGCTATCTCATCTATCAACCATCTATCATCTATCTCATCTATCTACGTATGTTCCACCCATCTATACACCCATCCATCCATCCATCTGTCCATCCATTCTTTTTATCGATCAATCATTGGTTATCTATCACTCTATCATCTATCTACCTATTTATCTATGATCTCTATCTACGTATGTATGTTCTATCAATCTATCCATCCAGCCATCCATTCATCCACCCTATCATCTATCACTCTATCATTCGCCTACCATCTCTATCTATCTACTATCATCTCTCTCTTCTATATTTATGTATCTATCATCTAGATGTGCAGATGAATGGATAGATGAGACAGATGATGGATAGAAAATAGACAGATAGTGGATGCAGTGGCTCACGCCTGTAATCCCAGCACTTTGGGAGGCTGAGGAGGGCAGATCATTTGAGGTCAGGAGTTCAAGAGCAGCCTTGCCAACATGGTAAAACCCCATCTCTACTAAAAATACAAAAAAATGAACTGGGCTTGGTGGTGGGCGACTATAATCCCAGCTACTTGGGAGGCTAAGTCAGGAGAATCGCTTGAACCTGGGAAGCGGAGGTTGCAGTGAGCTGAGATCGCACCACTGCACTCCAGCCTGGGCAACAGAGTGAGACTCCATCTGAAAAAAAAAAGAAAGAAAATAGAATAGATATATAAGAGGTAGATAGATAGCTACATGATATGTAGAGAGACAGATACATATAAAGATCAAATTCAGTTTTATGCCACGGGCATGTACTATTTTCTTCTCTAAGTCCTTGCCACAGTGTTTTGAGAGGTTTCTACATACCACGCTCTGCCTTCTATGCTCAGTCCATATATTATGTTTCATTCAAAGACAGCCATCTTATTGATCAAGGTGATAACAAGGTTTAAAAGCTAAATGAAAAGGTCCACTGCAGGATACTGCAGCATCTCTCCCTCTAAGAGCACTTGCATTTAGATCCATGAGGTTCCTGAGAATGAAATGGTTCTGGAATTAACAGGACTGACAGCACCCTACCCCATGCTGGTTTTCAAGATAAAATAGTACCGTGATTGTGACATTTGTGCTACAAGAGTTGAGTATCAAGGGAACAATGAGCTGCTCCAGTGCTGTGAAGTAGGGCATCACACAAGATGCTAAATGAACAGGGGACGGTCCCCTAGAGGACAGCGTGGACACACAGGAGAAGGTCAAAGTGCCCCTGTTTAGCAAATCAGTGACCGAAAGCTTCCTAATCTTTCTGAGCCAGGCACTGACAAGGGCTTTCCCTGGACCACTCTCCTTTCTAATACCCCTCCTTCCAGTTCTGTGAGGTGGGCAACCCGATCTCCACCTCATGAACACTGAAGCACAGTAATGAACTCAGACTGGGCACAGTGGCCCATGCCTGGAATCCTAGCACTTTGAGAGGCCAAAGGAGGATCACATGAGGCCAGGAGTTCGAGAGCAGCCTGGAGAGTGTAGCGAAACCCCAACTCTACAAAAAATAAAAATAAAAATAAAAAATTAGCTGCTTGCAGTGGCCCCTGCCTAGTTCCATTTCCTTGGGAGGCTGAGGCAGGAGGATTGCTTGAGCCCAGGAGATGAAGGCTACAGCGAGCTATGATCATACTTCAGCCTGGGCTACAGAGCAAGACCCTGTCTCTAAATAATAATAATGATCACAATTTTTAAAAAGAAAAAGTAATGAACTCACCCAGAATCCCAAATCTACCACATGGCTGAGCTGCCCAGCACAGGTCTATCCAACCTCACACGGATGCCTTGTCACCCACAAATAACTACAGATTCGATTCATAGAGCCTCAAATAATGACCACAAGGGTGGAACATGCTGAAGGGGTGAATCCACATGTTTTGAAGAAAGCTTGACATCAACCAACAGCTATAGAAATTAAGTTCAAAATGCTGCATTGGAACAGTAACCAAGCAAGAATGAGGAAAAAACATTCAGGTTTTCTCCAAGGGTGACTGACTGGGGAAGACATTTAGCCAATGCAAACGTTTAGATAAAGTAGGTCCCATTCAATGGCATGAATGGCACACATGGTATCACTGGTATGAATACCACCTTTCAGTCTCCAGCTAGACCTAGCTCTAGAGCTGGATTGATTGTTACTTAAAGACCAAATGGCGTTATTAGATCATGCTTAAAGAGGAAGAGAAAACATTAGCAATTGCTTTCATTAAATCCATCAATGGAGAATGTAGTTGAAGATAAGAACACTGCTGAGAGGAAGGAACAGAAAGCATGCATCTCTCATTTCATCCTGAAAGAAGAAATTATTTGCATGCCCCATTTGGACTGGAACATTCACGTGCCCCCCCGCCCAACAATTTTCAGCTTTTAATCTCTCAACCTCCCTCCTGTTCGCTTTGGCAGAACAGCTTTTAAAGAGTGAAAAGGCATGATGATCAGAGTTGAAGATGGCAAAAGAGAGTCAGCCGATCACCCCAGGCAAACGCCAGAGAGAAGACAGAAGAATCAGAGGCAGGGGGAGAAGGAAGCCGATTCTGATTTTTTGTTAAATGAGGCTGAAAAATGAATTAACAGCTGTTGGGTGCATGCACTTGACCCCAGTGACAGTGGATGGCCTCCACCAGGAGCCTTGGACACGGGGAAGAATTCAGATACCACCTCCAGAGCATCCTGTGGACTGGTGTCCCTGACGACCTCAGCAGGGAGTTCCTGGCTCAGTTGGAAGGTTTCCTCGGACGGGACACTTTCGACTTTATTTGCTGGCTGCTGAAACATAACCATTCCATCATGAGTCTGCAGTGGGCTGCAGGGAACTGTATCCCTACCCTAAATGATGGAGAACTCTTTATCCTCGGGTAATATAAAATCAAATTAATGGGTTGAGACCAGGCAAAGTGGCTCATGCCTGTGATCCCAGAATTTTGGGAGGCCAAGGCAGGAAGACAGCCTGAGCCCAGGAGTTCGAGACCAGCCTGGGCAAAACAGCAAGACCCCATCTTAATTATAATTAACTTTAAAAAAAAAAAACAAAAACAATGGGCTGTGCTTGCTCCTCTTTTCTGGGAATGCTAAATAAAAATAGCTCAGCTTCTCTCCCCTAACTTACTCTGAGCCATCCACCATGTGTCAGACAAGAGGAGATGCTACAAGTTCTTATGCAATTCATGAAAGTAAAATTTTCAGAGTTGACTTATTTATACCAAATGCCTCCAGACGCATTTTACTAAGATACTCTCTCTGAGAGATTAAAAAAAAAAAAAAAAAAAAGAGGGAGAGGGTGTCCATAAAGCCAGTTTTTTGATGATATGTGGTAGTAAAAGCCCAGATTCATAAGGATAAATTTAGGGAAAACAGAATTAAAATCAAATCTGTAGTCATGGAATACTGACTTTAGACATGGTGCAAGTTCTATCAAAATTTTTTAAAAATTAGTGGAGACATAGATGCTATCTTGACATTGTATGTTTTTCTTCTTAAATTGTTTTAAGCAAAGTGGAAGAAAATAACAAAATGACCAAAAACAAAACCCCACAATAAATTTGAACAGACAGCCAGATTCCGTATCCACCAGGATAATAGAGAAATGGACTAATTCTAACACAACGTATTCCAGGCAGGAGAAGCCATTCAAAAAAGAAAACGGGAGGAATTTCAAAAGGCATACTGTGCCCCCACTGGTATGTAATGGGGATAGACACTGTGAGAAAATAACAAGCAATAAGAGAGGTGGCCATGTGTGAGTCATATAGATGAGGAATACCAAGGTGGTTTCAGTCTTTGTGAAGCCTGCAAGCTGAGGGGAAGGCTGGGACAGTGGGTCACACGTTATCACAGCAGGAGTCTCAATTTCAGGACAACCTATCATCTGTTATAAAGAAAGAGAGCAAAGGCAAGTTAGGTCAAACCTTTGAGCAAATAAATGCACTTAACTGAAAATACCCACTCTATTTTTTTCTTTCTCCATGATGCAAACACAGCTTGATACGGGGTGGGTCTGGGGCAAGGTCATAGGCTCACCAATACCTGTCTTCATTTCTTATTCTTCTTCTCATGCTAACGTCCAACTGCATTTTGTGAACTCCTTGTACCTGGACAGGACCATGGAAATGATTCTCACAAGCAGATTGAGTGAATGTGAAGAACGGACATGAGTTACTTCTGGCTGGGCAATGAGAGAAATAAGATTTTCCTACTCCCTCTTCTTCTACCAGCCAGGTGAAAAACAAGGTCCCTCCACATCTCTGAACTGGGCCTCCATAAGAAAATAAAACCAAAGAGAGAACACATCAGGTGACTCTTTTCTCAGCTCTCCCAAGGGTGGTCCATATCTAACACCATTCTAGATGTGGAGGAGATAACTGAATTCATTACATACAATGGCTGTCATCAGCATCAGCATCTAATCCTCCCAAGGAGTTTCGCTTGAGAAGAACTGCTCTAGAAGGTGGAGCACAATAATAGCAGCATCCTGGATCTCTGAAAGACTGCATGGAGTCGAGGATACCTTGGCCACCCCAGCTGGCTGTGACACACATGAGAAATAAACTTTTATGTATTTGAGGGCTGTTTGTTATAGCAGCTAACCTACCTTGACAAATACAGGGTCAAGAAGCAAACTTGTGTCCAAACACTGGAGTCCTCATCAGGTCAGGTCACAAAGCACTTAGCTTAATGAGTGTGTGCAACAGAGATAAGATAACACTGACATCCTCACTGAAAACACACTGTGGAATTCTTGGGAGTGGATGCAGCTGAGCCTCAACATGAGCCCCTCTTGCCTACACCAGGATGACTTAAGAGAATTGTAATCATTCAAATGCAGACTCCCAGGCCAAGGTCCCAGAGATATTGAGTGATGTCAGCTGGAGTGGAGATCAGTCACTTGGATGCCCAGCTCCCAGATTTCTGATCCTAGCTTTCCCTTTTAGAAGAATGTGCAGTTAATTCTCCTAATTGAGGCATGAATGTATGCATTTCACAGGTGTTTACGGAGAGGTAGGCAGTGAAGATCAAACAACGGCCTACACAGATATCATCTCCACCTTCATGAAGCTTACTGTCAATGAAGACAGACAGTCAACTAATAACAAACACAAAATGGCAAACCATTACAAACTCGAGGAAAGGAAATGCTATTGTTATCAAGAGACCTCACCTGGCCTAAAGGGGGAGACACTCCTGGGAGAGCAATATCTAGAGTGAAGCCTGAAAGATGAGTAGCAGCCGATGATGTAGAATGACTGGAAATAATACAGTAAGAAGAAGAACATACTGAAAAATACACATGAAAACAGATCAGTATGTGCAGCACCCTCAGGCAGAGGAACAGGAGCACAGAAAGAAATAGAAAAAAGGCATCTGCAAAAACTGGACACCCACAAAAGTCATTATTAGTGAGATTTAGTGAAACTTTAAGATGCAAAACAATGTAACTATGAACTTGTTTTTTTAAAACAATCATGAACTTGTTTTCTTTAAAAAAAAATTGACTATTCTAACTCATAATCATGAAAGTATAAATTTATTTATTTATTTATTTTTTGAGATAGAGTTTCGCTCTTGTTACCCAGGCTGGAGTGCAATGGTGCGATCTCGGCTCACGGCAACCTCCGCCTCCTGGGTTCAGGCAATTCTCCTGCCTCAGCCTCCCGAGTAGCTGGGATTACAGGCTGTCGCCACCACGCCCAGCTAGTTTTTTATATTTTTTTTAGTAGAGACGGGGTTTCGCCATGTTGACCAGGATGGTCTCGATCTCTTGACCTCATGATCCACCCGCCTCGGCCTCCCAAAGTACTGGGATTACAGGTGAGAGCCACCATGCCCAGCCTAGGAAAGTGCAATTTAAATAACTCACAGAAGAATGGAGTAGAATGTTGGTTGCCAGGGGCTGGGAGGGGCTTAGAATGAAGACATGTTGGTGAAGGAAGATGAAGTTTTAGTTACACAAGATAAATACGTTCTGGGGAATCTAACATACAGCATGGTGAGCACAGTTAACAATATAGGATTGTATACTTAAAATTTGCTATGAGAGTAGAACTTACGTGTTCTCATTATCAAGAACTGAAGGAGGAGGAGGAAGAGGAGGAGAAAACAGCGTTTATGTGAGGTGATAAAAATGTTAATTGGCTTGATGCAGTGATTGTGTTACAATGTATACACACAGCAAAGCATCAAATTGTACTCGTGAAATACGTATCAATTTTTATTTGTCAGTGGTACCTCAATACAGCTGGAGACAAATTTTTAAAAATTAACATTAAATAAAATATGGGCTCCTTCTTTGAGATCTCAGCTATGTATGTAAAATCCAAACATAAAACTAGGTTCCAAGAATTATGGTGTAAAGCAAAATTCTAAGTTGTCAAAGACGTCAGAAAATCATGATAATAGCACTCGTTTTTCAGTGGACGCTCATGGCTGGCTGCTGAATGGCACTCATAAGCTTCTCAGCCATGATTCCTTTTAATCCCGACAGCCCTATGAGGCAGACAGGTTGAGCCTTCCTCTTACTGCTGCAAAGTTTAGCTTGCAGACAGAGATACTTGTCCAACATATGAGAGATAGCAAGTGAGAGAGCGGGATTTGGGTATGCGCCTCTGTGTCTGCCAAACCTTGCCCTTGAACTGTATGCAATGTACATGATTTTCCAGGGTCTGCAAAACACTGAAATGAGCCTTGGGATAAAATGATGAATGCACTAAGTGCATTATCATGAACTACATGAATCCTGTAAAAATGAATCGCTTCTTTCTTCAAGCAGGGCTGGTAGAGGGATGTCCTGGATTTGAATACTGACACATCAAGGACAAGGATCTGGAGAAATGACTCTGAGCTCTGCGGCTTCCAGTGGGATGTCCCACAGACAGTTATTGTGATGGATAAATGAAGCAGCCAGGCAGGCAAAGAATACGTGCTGAAGAAAGGATGCATTGAATTGGATTAGGGAAAATGTCAATCTGTTTCTGTCATCTAATTTCTCCCGACAATGAACACATAACTAAGTTAAATGGGGCCAGTCATGAAGTATAATCCTTCATTGGAAGGGATTGAACTCGGGGTTACGTGCTTGATTACAAAGGGTGAAATAATGATGCAGTTTTCAGCTTGCCTTCTGCAGATGTGCTACGATCTTATGAATTTCAATGAGGAAGAGAAGTTCAGTCAGCCCTTGCTAATGTTTCTCATCAAGACCCGCGGGCTTACTAAACACTGAATATTAACAACTGAAATATAAAGCAACGTTTATGAATAAATATCACCATTATTCTTACCAGTCAGAAAAGAAACTTCCTCCTTTGCATATCATGCACTGAGAAATTTTTGGATGAGATGGCAACAATCTCAGAGTCTGCTCTTAAGATCATTGTTGGCAAGCTCGTGAATACATGAATATAAAATGTGACTTTTACAAACTGCATTGATTTTTAGCCTTAGGTAACAGCTATTCTACTGATTTATCCCCTAACAGCCTGACTGAAGATGGGGTCACCTTGAAAGAAGAGACTCCAAAGCTGGAGGCAGGCCAGAGAATTGTCAGCTCAGTACAGAGAGAGGCTGAGATATGCAGAGATGCTTCAAAGCAAAACGCTCTGTGTGGGAAGAGGAGAGCTGAGAGGACATGGTAAAAGCAGGTGACGCAGGGAAGGATATACAATAGACACGGAGTGTTCCAGTACACAATCCAAGGACATACATTTAGAGCAAAAAAGGAAGCACTCCTATGCATTATGGACTGTACATTTCTGAAAGTTAATTACTGCCAGGTAAATGCTAAAAATACAAATAGCTCAGGAACTGAAATGAGATTTTTCCACTTTCAGCAATTGATGAAGCTGTTGTTTTACACTATGTCTTCTTCTGCCAAAAATACCTAAAAAGGCTACACAAATAATGTATATAAAACTGTTTTTTTTTAGATGGAGTCTTGCTCTGTTGCCCAGGCTGGAGTGCAGTGGCACCATCTTGGCTCACTGTAACATCTGCCTCCTGGGTTCAAGTGATTCTCCTATCTCAGCCTCCCAAGTAGCTGGGATTACAGGCATGTGCCACCACACCTGGCTAATTTTTGTATTTTTAGTAGAGACAGGATCTCACCATGTTGGCCAGGCTGGTCTTGAACACCTGACCTCAGCTGATCTGCCTGCCATGGCCTCCCGAAGTGCTGGGATTGCAGGTGTGAGCCACCGCGCCTGGTCTAGAATTTTTTTTTAAGTATATCAGCTACAAGGCAGCAAAAACATTAAGAGTAAAGACAGCAGAGACAAACAGAAGAGTAATCCTTACATTTGTTACCTTACTTCAACTCAGTGCAAATAAGACTGGGCAGCTGAGAAACTGAGCAGAGTTTCCAGCAGTGCTAGGAGGCTGAGGGGCCCATAAATATTAATAGCAAGGACCGATGAGGGATAACCGGAAATGGACTGGTTCTCACAAAAACTGAAGCCCAATTTCCCTCCAGCTCAGCCCCAGATAGGATCGGGCCAAACCACCTCAGGGTATGAAACCACATCAAATCACATCCATTTTAAAAACCATCCTCCTTTGGAGGATAATATGATACGATAATATGATTCAGAGCTACAAACTGTCTCTGCGAAGTTTTTCTTCGTTTACCGTGTGTGGCTGTCAAGGGAAAAATTAACTATTACACAAGAAAAGACCAAATGAGCGAAAATCAAGAGCCCAGTGTGTGATTTCCCAGACACGGGCAATAATTACATGTGAGAAACACTAAATAAACTGGGAGGAAAATAAACATTTTCAAGGTAGTATTGAAACTCCACCCAAAAAATCTGATGTTAATTTGCACTAAAAACATAATAGCTGAAAACTAGAATGTGGGGTTAACAACGGATTAGACAT